AACACCTGCAAGCCAAACACGACCTCGTCAGTTTGTGAAGAGACTCTCTAATCTGACAAGATTTTTCTGAGATGCTCCAGAACACTGCTGAGAGAGAGAGACGAGAAATGGGACAGAAAATGTGTTTATGTGTGTTTGAGATGTGTGTGTCTGTGAGACTGTCTGGGCTGTTCCCCCTGCATGTGCTGCTTAGCAGGCAGCGTAGCCAGACTGAGCTAATGGGCAGGATGTGTGTGAGCAGGAGGCTGGAGGTGGTGGTGGAGGCAGACTCTTCCTGCTGTCACTTTCTGTCTGGCTCTGGCATGTTTACACCCTTGATGGGGGTAGGGAGCTCTGACACACACCTGCACACATCTACACACATACACCAAACAACTCACCTATTGTGCTGTGCATTCACTCACACACAGTCATGCAGAGATAATAGCCGCTTTGCTATGATTGTAACTTTTCCACCTCTGATATAATCATCTTCATCTGATGGAAATGATCCTCCCAGAAGCTTCAATCAAGGTAAAAGTCAAATGTACTCAAGGATAGGACATAAATGGCTGAATGAGAAACTGTATCCTCCATACCGCAGCCAAATCAGTGTGAAGGGGACAGATTTGAGGGGCTAAGTAGAGGTAGGCAGACAGGTGGGGTGTCCATATGTCACCCCACTTACCAGCCCAGCTCCTCATCCCAGTCCAGGCCTGCTGCTCTCCTCTCCAGCCTGGACGAGGGTCAGAGGGCAGGATGCTGTCTCTCTCTCCTCAGCATGGACACTTGGCATCAGTGCCGGGAGCCAGAGCCGCCGTCCTATATTTCAGCCATTGTGAACGGGTTTATCTGCTGTTTAAAATGGTATTCTATTAAAATGGGTAGTCGTCTGATTTTACACATCAAAGTTTCCAGGTGATGGTGAGTATTGCTTTAGATGTAAAAAAAAAACAACAACAAAAAAAGAGTAGTATAAGGTCTTTTGTGTCTTCGGAGGGAGCTGTTTCAAGACTGATGAAGACTATAAGAAAAAAAATTGGAGGTGTGGAGTTAAAAAGCCGCTACTAGCATAACACACTCGAATCTCCAATAGAGAGTCTAAGTCACTTCCACCCCATAGAACCTTATTTAGGAAAAAATATATATTGTAGTCAATGGCAAGAGACAACTTATTTTCTGATCCCGTTTGAACTGTACCTTGAATTACACATATGATGTTTGTCATTCTGTGGGAAATACTGCTGTCCATGTCTGTGTTGTAGAACTGTAATGCCAAATCCATCTGCTTGTGGAATTTTTGACTACCAGTAGTCAAAAAGAGCTCAAGGTGCATTTTGGTGAGAAACACTGCATGTAAACATGAACAATTCCCCAAACACAAAGTGACATCTTCATATGTCCTGTTTTCTCCCAACAACCTGACAAAATCAGCTACTGCAACACAAACTAACCTAGTTCAAAGGGATAGTTTGGGATTTTTGAAGCGGGCTGTCTGAGGGACTTATCCACATAGATGGTGGCCAGCTTGTCTCCAGTTTGAGGAAGCAGAGAGTTATACCTGCACGGAAACTAAGCAGTTTTCAAGGTCAGCAGAAAAAATGTATTTTAGCCACCAAGAAGGCCTATGAAAAAAGTTAATGAGTACTCTAAATTTTGAATATTTTCTGCACTTTACCTTCCCGTGAGACAGCCTGTTCCTTTATACAGCGTGCAGCAAGGTTTTGCTTAAGTGTAGGAATACTGAAGTTCTACAGTTGAGAAAATGTTGTTTCAAAGGAAATGGCTGTTTGACAGCAAGGTAAAGTCCTGAAATTATTAAACACAGCGTACGTTTTTTGCTGCTGACCTTGTCCATAGCAGTATATTGTTTAGCTATTCATCCATCTACTGCAGGTAATAACACTATATGACTATATATGACTATAACTATAAATGAGAACCTCATACAGCCCCACTTCAAAAATCCTGAACTATCCCTTTAACTTTGCGCTAAATATCTTCTTTTTTTTAGCCCCATATCTGTGGTGGTTGTGGCAATGTCAGGCTATATGACCTCTTCAAAATGCCGACATACGTTCCCAACTTTGAGAAATGTACCGTAGGCTAAGTGAATCAATCAGGGCCACAGCTTTCGAACAAGGGCGTCACATTGTGTTGAAAAGTGGTGGGGACATTTAAGAGCTCATATGAGGGGTGTGATGAAACACTACAATGCTATTTAGAAGAAATATTCAGTGATGAAATAGGCAATTCGATTGGGGGTCTGGGGATTTTGAGCATTAAACTCTTGATTTCCTGCATTCTAGACATTTTCTGCACCAATTTATGGTGGGAATTTACATGAAAGGAAATACAATTCATGTGGCCAGTGACAATTCCTTCCATCCATCCATCGTCAACCGCTTATCCTGTGTACAGGGTCGCGGGGGGGCTGGAGCCAATCCCAGCTGACATTGGACCAAAGGCGGGGTACACCCTGGATAGGTCGCCAGCCGGTGACAATTCATTATATAAAAATACTGTTGAATACAGTAATCAGCAGCTTGTTTTTTAAGTTACTTTTTTTTTGGACAAGGCAGATCTATATTTACATTGCATTTGATATTTTCCTATTGGGCAATTATACCTTTCTCAAAGAATTTTTATTTGCTATTTAACATTTATTGTTGCAAGACAATTTTCAGAAAACTTTTAGCAAGTGCTTTCAAAAAGTGGTGGGACAAAATCACCCATTTCTAAAAGTGGTGGGGACATGTCCCCAGCGTCCCCAGTGTAAATGACACCTATGCTTTTAACTTACTTTAGCCAGCAATAGCATCTGCAAATGAAATGAAAATGAAAATAACTGGGCATAAGGTCAGTCAATACAGATTATTATATTACCATTGTGGCTGTGACTGATTTCAGGCTTTTTTTGTGACGAGTTATTTAAGGGATATGGCCAAAGCCGTAATTACCAACCATTTATCCCACTTTGTGTTAATCAGCAGTGAAACGACACCGTGCCCTGTTCACATTCTGCTCCAACACCAACACACCCACTGAAGGCTTAATGCATTAGATTAGACGTGACCCCTGGCTCCATTCGTTTCAATGACGCTGTCTGTAGATGAGGACAGGACAAAGACAGTGCGGGTGCAGAGAGTGGCAGGCGGGACAGGAGCTGCCATGTAATCTAATTCCTCTTCTCTTTGTCTTCATTCATTCACTGTCATGACAGATTATGCTTAAATGGGAGGAGGAAGGGCAGGATGATAAATGAGAGAGAAAATGGGAGGAACGAAGGCGAAGAGAGAGGTAGACAGGACAATTAAGTTACAGTCTGGTCGGCAGTGAGAGAAGAAGTGTGTGGTGTTTGTGTGTGCGTGTGTCTTCCCCTCGATCCTCCTCATGCATTTGATGTCATGATTCATCGTCTCTAATCTTGTTGTGAAATGCACGAGGGCTCCTAATGAAGTATGCGCTGTTTGTGTGTGTGTGTGACAGAGAGAGTGTGTACATGCTGTGTTAGTGTTGTAAAGGTTGAACTCACATTCAAGCACAATGGCTTTTTCATTATTTCAGTTATGTGGATATCACTGAACACCTCTGGTGTGTCACTAACCTAGTCTACCTACACAAGATACTTGTTCTTGAGAATGTATAATCATCGTTATGTACCTGATAATAGCGCCTAAAGTTTTCTAAAAATTTTACTCTAAGGGTGACCGTTTCAGTCGGTTAGTCGGTCGGTCCACCCAGAGGCGGAGCAAGACAATCAGCACATTGGGGGCGGAGCTTCATCATGGGCCTGCCTGCTACAAAGTCATTTATACCAAGTTTACATGACCCCAGACTCACTCTGAAAGTCCACTGAGTCCGTCTGCGTTGCGGCTGCCGGAGCTTATCGCAGCCATTTTATTCAATACTTGTGCTCACGCTTAAAGTGTCTCTCCGCTCAGATCTGGAGAGAATACGCAGCCATTTTAAAAATAAAATACCCTGTGCAGACCCCCGATCGTATATCAACAATAAACAAAATTAAAACAGACAAAAAAAGAAACAAATTAACTACGTAGCCTGCTTAAACCATAGAAGAAGGGCAAAAAGCAAGCACTTATCATCAAATCAACAAAATCTAAATGTGTCAGCAAAATCAGGCAAGCAAAATGCTCTTATTCTGAAATGCTCCCTGTGGGATCTGCAGATGACGGAACAAAAGCGGGTCCCTGAGAGCCGTGAAGAAGGTAGTAGAAGCACAAAAAAGGACATATTAAAAAGAAGTCATTAACGTGGGGCACGCTGCATTTGTTTGAAATAAGAAAGTTACTTTGTGACTTTGATTTATTTAACGTGTCTGCTTAGAATATCGTGTTTTTTGTTGGTAATTGTCATTTTTGTGGTGGTTTACTATTGAAATCAGGAGTGAAGGGACTGTTTCATTTGATTAGAACAGCTGCACTGGAAATTTACACATTGGTTGTTATGTGTATGCAATTCTCTTGAGCGTTCCAGCGACAGGCTTATTGGCCCTTACGTACGTAAGATAAGACACATGAAATTTAAGCTATGCCTTTAACGTGTGGAAAACATTGTGAAACATTGGTAGTTTTGTTAGATTTAGGCAACAAAACTACCTGGTTAAGTTTAGGAAAAGTTTGTGGTTTGGGTTATAATAAGTACATTATATAAGTTGAATGATGCAAGTCATCTACAAGACGTCATTTAACTTAAAACATGTCAACTTTAACTTTCTTCAACACGGGACACAAACCTCTGTTTCCTGAGACAAGGGTTTACTCTGCTCATCCACTCATCCATGCATTGTCGCTCTTTGTACTACGTCACCTGAATTCTTCTGCAACTGCAGGTCATGGCCTAACAAAAAACTTAAATATGGGTTATAATAATCAACAACATGTAGAGTTTCTGGTAAGGACAGGCTGACCATTTTAACAGTCCTTGTACAAAGTATGATAAGAATACAAAAGCCTCAATTTTACCCTTCAACTGATATCTAACTTTTCTTCTTCCTGCAGGCCTACTTCCGACAGGGGGTTGCCCTGCAGTACCTGGGTCGACATGCCGATGCCCTGGCAGCATTCGCCTCCGGCCTCGCCCAGGACCCCAAGAGTCTCCAGCTGCTTGTCGGCATGGTGGAGGCTGCCATGAAGTCCCCCCTCAGAGGTAGGCTTGTCCAACCCGTTCTCACTCCCAAGTCGTCACATAAGGACATATGGTCAAGACTCCTTGCCGTCAGTTTGTAACACACTGGGAAGCCCCTTAGCGTCATAGTTCAGCGAACTGGGGCATCATTTATGAACGTTAAAAACAGATGTAGGATATGAAAAACAGACAAGGCAAAGTAAAGAGGTGGTTGAGGTGGATGGTTGGGTCAGAAACTGGACTTTTACCCTTGAGACCGTTGTTCATTTCCTGTGTGAAACAAAAGGTCAACATTGATTGTTTTTAGTAAGCTACGTAAGTTACATTACTTAACACTTATGTAAGTTAAGTAACGTAACTAACGTAGTTATTTTAAATCATCTTCAATCTTTTCCTAAACCCAACCAAGTAGTATTGTTGCCTCATCATTCAATTTATTAGTTTTCAAGTTTAAAGGCTGATTTTTGCTCCTGAGTTGAAGAAGCCAGATGGTTGATTGTGGTTTTAAAATTTTCTTTATGGTCAGAACAAACACTTGATGCCAAACAGTGAACAGTGGCCAAATCTGAGGCAGAACTATTATGATAAAATCTTTTTTCAGTCCCTTTTCCTCAACAAAATAAATAACTTACTAGAAAAAATTTTTGTGATTCAAATTAGTCACATCAAACATTTATTGAACATTTGTTATATTGTAATTGAGGAAAAATATGTCACGATAATTATCATTATTATTTTATTGCCCAGTCCTACCTAAAACTGACTAAACTGCGAAATTTCATAACGTTAACCACTAGTTTTATTTTGAAAGTTTCATATTTATTCTTGCTAACTTGACCGCGGAGCCCTACGCGTCCAGCAACGACGCTAAAGGGGTACCCAGGGCATTAAAAAGCAACGCCAAGGGGTCTTGACCAAGTGTCTATACGTGACGAGATGGGAGTGAGAATGTGTTGGCTTGTCTGACAAAGTTCACGTTGCCCGTCTTCATTTTCTGCCTCATGCATCTCGTCTTTTTGTCAGCATATGGCACAACAACACGAGGCAGAGTTATACAGACAAATAAACAACGTTTGTTTGACTCTTCTTCAACAACTCTGTGTTTGAAAGTCATAGGAGAGGAGGGTGAGCTGGAGGCGCCTGGAGAAACTGTCAAGTTAACACTTTTCCAGTGTTCTTTTATTCAGTTTCCCTCCTCTGGGACTGGGTTATGAAAAAATAAAAAATATGCTTTTGATGAGTCAGATCTTACAAAGAAATAGACGCACATTTGATGTGACAAAGAAACAGATAAGAGAAAAGAGACACATCAACAAAAGTTGGATGTAGAAAAAAAGTTGCAATTGAAATTAGTCAGTGTTAGGGAGCAATTTGGTCATCATCAGCATCCACTTGTTGAAGGACTCGGATCCACTGCTGCCTGAATCGTTAGAGAACCTGTATCCACTGACACTATATAACAAGTTATATCTATTTAGTATTATATTAGTATAGTATATTATTATTAGTATAGTATTTCACTATATAATAAAAGTGAAATTGGGTTTATAACCCTGCTACATAGCAGATAATATACATTAATATAGAAGCAATTATAAAAACAGAAATAAACTATAATCAATGGAGCAGTGCTGCGGATGAATTAGAGTTTAAGAGTCTGATATCTTGAGGGGAAAAGCTGCTCTGCAGTCTGGTGGTGCGGCAGCAGAAACTTCTATATCTCTTCCCAGAAGGCAGCAGGGTGAACAGGCTGTGGCTGGGTGGGTGCTGTCCTTTAGTATCCTTTGGTCTCTGCGTAGTCACCTCACCTCACTGATATCACTGATGCTCGGGAGATGGGCACCAATGATCTTCTGAGCAGTTTTAATCTTTAATGTATGATGGCAGAAGAGTCTCAGTCGCTCTTGGTTCTCAGGCCACTGAAAATAAAAACAAATTGGTTTAGATTTTAGGATTTGTACACAATTTGGCCTAATCACAGAACAGATTTGATTCCGTGCATAGGGAACTTGATTCTCTTTACATATCTTCATATTAACAGTGAATAAAATTTTGACCATGTTACAAAGGTGGAAAATGTCACGTCCTTAAAACAAACCCTGTTTTTTGGTGGGAGTTTTTCGTTATCTGAATTGAAGGTCTAATGATGTATGTAAAGTCCCTTGAGGTAAATCCCTTAAATCAGGCTTTATAAATAAAGCTAAACACTCGGGGGCTACAACACTACAAACACAACATATGACATCTCATACCGTTGTGAGGAACATGTCCGCTTTTTCCCCCCGCGTCCAGTCTTTATGCTAAGCTAAGCTAAGCACATCCTGACTCCAGCTCTGTGCTTGATGTACAGACATGAGAGTGGTATCAATCTTGTCATCTAAAGGCTCGTGCAGACTACACGACTTTCAGCGTCGGCAGATCACCCTGCTGTTCGGAGTCTTACATTTACATTTATTCATTTGGCTGAGGCTTTTATCCAAAGCGACATACAATTGGTATATATGTCAGAGGTCGCACGCCTTTGGAGCAACTAGGGGTTAAGTGTCTTGCTCAGGGACACATCGGTGTCTCACAGTAGATTCGAACCCGGGTCTTCACACCAAAGGCATGTGTCTTATCCACTCCGTCATCACCACCACCGTCTTGAAGTCGTTGTGGCGTTAACACTACGTGACTGATCGGTGACAGGGGGTCACAGGGGCTGTGTCACCTGACACAGGTCTCCAAACCACGTTTTGTCAAGAAAACACACGTGAAATGTGAAATGGGAAATGAGGCGAACCTACACACAAAACAGCTGTTTTGTTTGTATAAAGATACCAATTGTAAAGACAAAATCTGGGTGAAAGAAAGGATTAGCACATGCAGGTAGCAGGGATTGTCTGAGCTACAGAGAGAGCTGGAGGTGAGTAAAAAGTGTTTCGCAGAGAAAAACGTAGCGATGCGTCGGGGAGCCGTTTTGATGCGTCGGGGAGTAGTTCATAACGACTGGTGGCCGCAGATCGATCACTGATTTACCCCTGATCATAGCTGAACTATGAGACGGTAAAATCGTGCAGTAGGAACTAGGCTTAACTGTCAGCAAGAAAGCAAATAAGTGGATTTCCCAAAATGTTATACTAGTTCTTTACAATGTTGACTGATCTTAAAAACTGTCTAAAGAAAGTATTTTGTTTAAAACCAGTTAATTTAGTTGTTAATGTTCAGTTGAGAACTATAGGGATAATGGGGATTTGAAGATGGTCTGTAATTGTTTAGAACATCATGATCTAGGATTTAGGGGTTTGAATCACAGCTTCTTTAGATGCAGACAGTATGTGCCAGTGGAAAGAGAGGGATCAATAACAGTGGGCGGACGTTGTCCTAATATCAGAGGGACCTATTTAATGAGTTTGGAAAGGGTCAAAAAGGCAGGAAGTTACTGAAGATATATCTAATCTCGTTTCTGATTAGGTTCATTTCCATATCCAAGAATCATATGTGCTTACTCTAAAGAGCTGAGAACAGTGAGGGCCTGGGTTAGTTTGCTACCATGTTTATTAGCATGAGTTTGCTTCTTGTGGGGCTCACGTTGAAATATTTACAAGGTAGATTCTTGCGTGTCATTGATCTATTTGCCCCGCAGTTCACAGTGCACTTTTATGTGCCGATTTTAACAGCATAAGAAGATGAAGGAAGAGTGCATACAATCAAGAATGGTTTGCAGGCTAGAACTGGCACAGGATTATGTTTTTGCCCTTCAGCAGTATCAAAATGAGAGCAAGGCTTTTTGGGAATAGCCGTTTACTTGGCAAGCTGCAGCAAATGTCTATACAAGTGGAATTTTGCATCTGCTTTTACACCGGAGATAATATCTTTTCAAGTGTTCACAGTATTTCCCTTCGAGGTAGAGCTTATAGATCTGAAGGCTAGTTCTAAGGGACCTAATGAGCAAATCTTAAGTAAAGCATTAACAAAAAGCAAACAAAATTTTAACAGCAGCATTGCAAAAAGAAGTAGAATCAGTTTTTGATAGTGATCAGAGCCTGTTGTGATCAGTGGCAGACACAGTATGTAACAGAGTCCTGGCCGAGCTACTGCAAAGCTGTACTGTGCAGATCTGATGCACTGTGGGAGGTTGTTCTGCTGTCCAGAGGCTACAACCTCCAAAACTCGATCTCCCATGAGCTTGAAAGCAGCAAGCCTGGTATCAAGTGTTGCCAGGAGTTGTCATGCTCGAGTAAGCAGGAGGAAGAACAACATGTTGGACCGTGAAGAAGACCAAAATGCAGTAAGCACAGGATAGAGCTGCACTGTCAACAAAATGGACGAGGAGGCCTCCTGGGTTATCTGTCTCCTGTTGGGTTAGCTGATGTCTTTTTTATAGGATGATGTGCTGTGGGGCATCAGCTAGGGAAGATGTTAAAAAGTAGAGCCAATCTCAATGCCAGTGCCTGAAATTAGTGTGAGGACTGCAACATTTTTCATCACCACAGTCGTTCTTTTTAGTATGATATATTTAATAAAACTACAGATGCAAATGAGATCAGCTGTTCATTTCTTTTGCATATAGTGCAGCTAAATATGACCTGGTGCCGGGATGTTTTAGCACATGTTGCGCATGTGTCTGGAGTGCAAAAGAGAGCCGATGTAAAAGTGGCAATTATGTGATATTAAAAAATGCTAAAACGTAGCATCACATTAACATTAAGTATAAAAGATAAGTTGAACAGTAAAGTCAATAAACTGACTTAGTTACGTATCAATATCTTTTTGAATATAAATAATAATATAATTGAATATAAACTAAAATTGGTCATACCAGACTGAGTTATGTTAGACTTTTGACTGAAAGGGTCGTACAAAAATTATTTTAATTAAAAAGTTTTATTGATAATGTAACATATAGCCTTTTTAATATCACATAACAATATCTGCCGCTTGTTGATAAACATTATCAGTATTACTTGCTTGTCCTTCACCTTCCACCACATCAATCCCTCTTTTTTCACCTCGTTTACCAGCCACATCACAATTACTGGGCTTTCAAGAGAAACTTCGGATGCTCGGCTGCCGTGACATTTTGCGATAGCTTGACTATGTAGCGATGTAGCCTTGCAATGGGATGGCTAAAAGCCAGCTAGAAAAGGAGGTCATGACTACTAGACAATTACTTTTTAATGTGAATACTAGCCACCAACTGGACACGTGGTCTACACCAGGTGGTCTACATATGGCTACTGACAGTGTTGCATGTAAAAAATGTAACGGTACGGTAGTATGGTACTGTGTATCGCCCACAGTCCTAATCTGTCAAAATGATGGTTGGCCTTCAGATTTTGTCTGTCATTGTTTAAAATAATTCAGTCAATTCAGATGAAACCAGACCAAATGAAGCTGAAGCAGCAAAACCTTGGAGTGTGTTGAACTGGGCAAGGCTGCATTTTTATTACTTTAACTATTAAGTTTGTTATTTCTTCCTTCAAAAGTTACTTTTTGTCACTTCTAAATGCCTATTCAATGAGCCCCAACACAGATGTTTCACTGCTCCTTTGCACGTGAATAAGGTCAAATGTCAACTGTTTAGCGCTCAAAGTAAGGCTGCAAATCCCACCAAATGTCCCCTATAGAGTGATGAAGTGGTGGAGGGCGGCCCATGTAAAATGCTAGCTGGAATGGTCTCCACCTCCTCTTTACTTTTCAGACAGTGCAGCGCAGAGCTCTGGCAGACAGTTTTGACCCAACCAGAACGGAACAGTTGTCACTATCAGTTGAAAGGGAAAGATTGCAGTTGGCAAATGTTGAGTCCAGCCTGGAGAGAATGGGTGGGTAAATGATAATATCTGACAGGTTGTAAGTCAGCTGGGTGCTGCAAGTAGCAGAGGACAAGCAGGCGGTAAGGAACCGTTTAATTTCAAAATTGTGGTCCTTCTGTCACACAAAGTCAACAAACTACCAATGAGGATCTGATTCATTAAATACAATATGTGCCAATATTCTTTTTGTAGATAAGAGTTTGAATGTAATTATTGCATTAATCAGCATCAGGTCATTTGCCTAAGAACTAAAAACCATGAAATTATCAACCTTTATCTTAATCTTATTATAAATTTTTGGTCCTTTTAAACCTGGGCCCTATTTTCACACATGTTGGTGTTGAAATGACTAGTAGGTACAAAAAGTTTTGAATCCGTGCAGTAGATGCTTCATAAAACGTGCTTCTTTTTGCCAGCGACAGGCTCAGACTGTCTGACAACATCATAGAAAGGATCCCTACGAGGGGCTCCTGGTGACCGCCTCTGTTTTCAACAGGAAACCGAAGCCTCGTTCAAGAACAATTCTCACTCTGAAATCTCGGGAGAGGCGAGTTGTTGCAGAAAGACACCAGTGGAAACAAGGGAGAGGAGTTTGTTGTGTACATAGAGGAGCTGCTACCAAGACTATTTCCTAATGTTACTCCAACACAACAAACTACTTTTTGCAACTCTGACTCACGTTTTGTTTGAATTGTCTATGAGCGAGACTTGCCTGTTTCATGGCAATCCATCCAATGAAAACCATTAGTGAGTCTCTTGGTGGTGCCAGAGGAACCATAAATATCTGTACTAAATTTCATGGCAATCCATCCAATAATTGTTGTGATATTTCAGTCTTGACCAAAGTGGTGGGTCAACATTGCCATCCACAGAGCCATGCAGCTGGAGTAGAAAATGAACCGCCACTCTCGGCTGTGACCTTGAATAGATCACTGACACACAAGCTAAACTTCAGTCACCATGTCTTTTCTTCTGTGGTTTCAGGCCACACTTGCTGCCTACCATAAATATAAAACATTTGAGAATATATGCATCCACTGCCTATGTAATCATACAACCACAGTGCACCATCTCAGATGTCTCCATGCAGCGATCAGTTGCATTTTCACACTCTTGTTTGGCTGCTTGTCGTCTGAGTTTCACAACAATCTCAACGTGTCAGAGCCGACGATGCTCCACAACCCCCATCCTCATGCAAACCAAGCGTTTTCACAGTGATCTGAATATAACTATCACCTCTTAACTATGTGTTAATCTCAGCAGGAAAGTGTAATTATAAAAATGCCCACTCATCAATAAATCTTCATGACGAGGAGAAACGTTCATGCAGTAAATATCCTAAAAAAAATATTCACCGATGTAATTTGGTCGACATAATCACACAAAATTAGGAAGGGAAATCCATGTTTATGGCTGAATGTTTTATCATGATGTCTGACATATGGAGTCCATTGTGACGCTGTTACTATTGTGAATTCGTGAAGCCTCCGAATGAACATTTTCAACATTTTGCAAATGTAATCTACATGTTTGCAGGTGTGCAGCTCTTAGCAAAGTAAACTCCTGCACACCGTGTAACTTGCAAAAAATATATATATTGGTACTAGACCTTCATCAGGCAAATGGTGTTACATAGTGAGAAGCCATCTTTTGTAGGAGGTGACTACACCAATCACTTACTTCCTCATAAAATAAGGCAACCATTATAAAACATTCATTCATATTTTTATGGGATAAATGTAGATTTCTGTACATTGAATGTATATCAAAACAATCTCATAAAGTGCACTCATGAGTATGCATGCTCTCAAATCTTGCTCGAACCTTATATATCAATAGACAAATAGTCAAGAGGAAATACCATAATAAAAAAAACGAATAATAGATGAATAGAGGAAAAAATCATAATACACACAACATATGGCCCAACAATAGGTCCAAAAGACAACAATATCATGCTTCAATAATGTAGATGTTAACTAAAAATGACATTTATACAATTTCTAGAAAAAGGGGAAAAAATCATCACCATAAATGTTAAAATCTCCATATTATTATATACGTGCAACAAATAACTTGTAGCATCAGTGCATATATATATATATACAAATGAACACAATCAACAGGACACAATATTTAATGGTTGTGATAATATATGTGCAAATTCAAATGTATCCAGGACTGTTTTGGGTTGGACAGGGAGACGCTCAGGTGAATCTTAAGTAATAAAGCATAGCCTATATAGAAAATAAATGGGTAAAAATATTGAGAATCACAGGAAAATGTTAAGCAGGAATTCATCATTAAGTCCCTTTGGAGTCAGTGTTTGCAGAGGAGAAATCCAGTAAGCCTCTTGCTGTTTCAGTAACTTATCGTGGTCACCGCCCCTGGGTGGTAGGGTGACCTGTTCAGTGCCACAGAGCCGTAGTGAAGCAATATCATGGTGAGAATCATTGAAGTGTACGGCTCATTTCTGTGTATGGTACTTTTGTGCTCAATGATCCTTTGTTTGAGTTTTCTAGTAGTTTTCCCAACATAAGCAAGACCACAGGGACAGCATATCATGTAGATCACGTGTGTGGATGCACAAGTGATGACACTGTTAATGGGAAATGTTTTGCTTGTGTGGGGGTGGTAGTAGTATTATTGCAGTGCCACAATGATAGTTGCCCTTTGGAAGAGGGTGTAGGCGTGTCTGTGTGTCTTGAGTGGACTTAGTCTTGTACACAAAATTGGCGCGGACCAAGTGATCCTTATATTTTTCCCCCTTTTGCAGCTCTTCCCATCACTCTGTATGCATTTCCAACAGCTGTAATGTTAGTTTTTTTAATAAATAACTGTGAAGTTGTCTCATCTGATAACAAAAATCCCCCAAAATTTGAATTTACGTATCTCGTGTTGTCCCATTAGGTCTCCAGTGTTACCACAGTTTCAGTGTTAGACAAAGTATTCAGATCCTTTACTTAAGTAAAAGTAATAACACACTTTAATAATACACTGTTACAAGCAAAAGTAAATGCAAAAGGAAAATGTACTTAAAGTTTTAAAATAATGCATTAATCTGCTGTTAAGTTTCTCCATTAATTGATTGATTGTTTGCTTTGTGAACCCTTCACAATGCTTGTTTTGTCCAACCAACAGACCAATCCTCAAGATTACTGACAACACGATTATTCAAATAATCAAAAGGAAAAGCAGCTAGTGGTCACATTTGTGAAGCTGGAACCATTAAATATTTTTACGACTAATTGATTAGACGACAAATCATTTCCGCTGTAATCATGTAAACTGTCTTAATTTGTAAAGTAACTCGCAACGAAGGCTGTCAGATAAATGTAGTGAAGTTAAAAGTACAATATTTCCCAGCGAGATGTATATGTACCTCAAATTGGTACTTAAGTACAGTACTTGAGTAAATGTGCTGCACAGTTATCAACTGTAATGCACCTATTGATTATCTTTGCTACAGTTAGCCCATTCTTCAGAGCATTCGCCTGTCCACTATAACTACAGTCCACACAATATAAACACAACAGAGCAGAGGAGCACATCATTATTAGCTGACAGTTGTTGGGAGGAAGAGGGTTAATTTAACAGTCTGCAAATGAGTTTCAAATATTGACAGCAGCAGCAAATGCTACAGGAGCTCGCCGGGTTACAGCAATTACCAATCAGGAGTTGGTACCAAATTAAGACCAGTCCCGTCTCTAATGTAATGACAACAGTGGAACCCAAACGCAACCCTGTCTGCCAGCTGTTTTGTGTTGTTCTGCTTCCTAGTGAAAATGATGATTGATTTCCTTTCCTTACCTCACCACAGTCTTTGTGTGTGTGTGTGTTTACACCTTCACAGACACCCTTGAGCCCACCTACCAGCAGCTACAGAAGATGAAGCTGGACAAGAGCCCGTTCGTGGTCGTGTCGGTCATCGGTCAGGAACTGCTGACCCACGGTTTCCACGGCGCCTCTGTTGTGGTGCTGGAAGCGGGGCTGAAGATTGGCACATGTTCATTAAAGCTGCGTGGATCCGTCTTCTCGGCCCTGAGCTCCGCGTACTGGTCTTTAGGTAACGCAGAGAAGAGTATGGCCTACATGCAGCAGGACCTGGAGGTGACCAAGACGTTAGGTATGGAAGAGGAGAAAGCGTTGGAGTGTAGTGTGACGCAAATGAAACTGTTGTAGCGAACATCTCTTACTCTTTGTCTCGTCCACAGGTGACCAGTCAGGGGAATGCAGGGCTCATGGGAACCTTGGCTCTGCCCTCTTCTCCAAGGGCAGTTACAGAGAAGCACTGGCCAATCACAGAAACCAACTAGTGCTGGCCATGAAGCTCAAGGACAGAGAAGTAGGTTTGCATGCACGTGTTTGCTTCAGTGAGTGTGAAAAGTGTGCTCATGTACTGTATATTCATATGAGCTACACATCCACTGAATGAAGATTATCAAGTTTACCTATAACATATGCAACTGCAGGGAGGGCATGTTACCAATATAGTTACAATTAGGGGCGTCCCAAGTTTAATGTTGGGTATCTGCTAATATCAAGTCTAATCCAATACATATTTTTACCTAAATGTTGATTAAAAACATATGTAGTATGTGACACACTGAAGTATCAGCTGTAGCTACTTAACCTGGCACATTTTTCCCCCATACGTAAATAATCCTCGGACAAGTACTGACACCGGCTGCAGAGAGCACTTTAACACGACAGCAGACAAGTTTAGTTTTGGCCTGTTATCAAGTTACTCGTGTTAATTAGTGACAGCTGATGGGACCTGCCTGGGTACTCCACTACATTTTTAGAGGACAATTATGTACAATTTACTCAACTACATGGATTTGATATATTTAGTTAGTAAGTATATAACAAATAAAACATATTATAATCAATAATAATATGTTAGACTACAAATACATAGCAGTATATCAACTAATTAAAATTAGCCCCACCTTTAGCAGCTGCAACATTGAAGTGATGCACATTAATGCATCAATAATTATAATTTAATAATATAATATACATTATTCGGAAATGTGCCATTCAGTAAAATGAATACTTTTATATTTGGTACTATATTTCGATACTAGTACTTACATTTGAATGCAGGACTTTTACTTTTAACAGAGTATTTCTACACAGTGGCATTGCTACTTTTACAAAAGTACATTCTCTGAGTACTTCTTCCACCCCTGTTATTCAGGTAACTATGTTTAATTTGAGAGCCTTACCTTAAAGTACATGTCATACTACAACGTTACAGAGCTGCCTGGATTACATAATCACAACCTGAATGAATACAAAATACAAAACTTCAGATTTAACCCTATTTCTTTTCCTGTTTGGAGCATCTCAGACAACAGCTCTCTCTCTCACTCAAGCTTTTCTCGAAAGCAGTTTTTCGTTGCCTCGGGCCACAGCTAAACTCATCGGCTTTCTGCTGAAACACTTTGGACAGTTGTGAAAACCATAGTTAATTAGATTGCTGTCACAGATTAGACTTTGGCCCCTTTATGTCTCCAAACACAAAGTAAAGCTGTCAGGTTGTTTGTGTGTGTGTTTACCTTTGTTTAACTACTCCCATATGCTTGTTTGTGTACGTGTGTGTGCTGCTTTCTTAACTTTGCAAACGTGTGATGCTGTGTGAATATAAAACATTGTGTCCTGGAAGAACCAGTTTTGTCTCACTGGATTTAGTATTTTGCTTAATATCATGATTCTGTGCCTGTGGCACCGTTTTGTGGAATATTTTATTGTCTTTTAATACTGTATGAGAAATATAAACAACCTTGATGTGTGTGTTTGTGTTAATCAATAATGTTGGATGTTGGCTATTCTTCGATCTGCTGTGTTCATATCTGCTGTGTGTGCAAACAGACTGTTTTTTTGTACATAAATATCCGTGACTACTCTGTACCAGGGCTGTGTTGTTGGTTAGATTAACGGCTGCCAGTGGTGACTGATCTTCCGTGTGTCCAGTGTGTTTCTTTGTGCAGACGGTCTAAAATAAATCATAGATGATCAACTGGAGCCGATCAGTAAGGTTTAATAGTTTTAATTGGAAGGTTTTGGTCTTTGATTGTTTGTTGATAAGTTATAATCAACAAACATAAGTTAGGGATGGGTAACGTAATGATATATGTTACTTTAAATCTTAATTTCAATATATACATAAGGTATATATTATGTTATATTGCATTTTATGCTAATTGTTTAGGAAACAGTTTATAAATGCCTCAAGGGTGGTGCCGCATTTGTTTACTATAGTGTTTTTATTTTTTCAGAGTGACATTTTTAATACAGAAAAACAATTTAAATAAACTATATACTTTTAATACCTTTTCAAACCTATCAAATATTGAAACCTTTTTAAATGTGCAGTTTTGCTGCTGAGCTAATGTCATGATACCTCACACTTTCTTGTTGTCGCAGTAGAGCAGCACCAGATTGTTAGTTTTTCATGTGGACACCAGTCAGAAATAGCAGCGGTAAGAACATGAAAAAATATTCTTTGGTGTACAGTACTTCTCAGCCTTCAAGACGGTCTGAAATGACCGAAAATGAGCCGACAAAAAAAGCTAACATTTGATATTACATGGAAAGCCAGCAGGTTTATGGCTTTATGAACTTTTGGCTGCCTGTGGGACACGCATGTCCATCATTGACTGATTGTGCAATCAGCGTAAGATTGCTGTTCCAGACCTGACATCACTTTTGAGCAGCACCTTCTGGCAAACTCACAGTGATGAAAGACTCAGTCAGAAATAATACGTACAATGTGTAACTTCCCCTATCGTACAAATTCTCGTCTTTACTTTATTGCTTGTGTGTGGATCCAACCAGTGTTTAAATTACGCAGAGGCCTTCAGGAGCCAGATTTTTGGGGTGCACAAGCATACATGAATGTGCCTGCCCATGTGCAAAAATATACTTTATATATAATATATATAGGAAAATACTGCACGCATTTATACAAAGAAAGAGTGGCACCAAATTATGTTTTAGAGCACCCCCCCACCCCTTTAAATTTCTCAAATGAGGCTTCTGGGAAGCTCATGTCTCTTTCAGGGGAGCTGAGCTCCCTGTAGCACCTCGCTATTTCGAACCTGGATCCAACAAGATATAACGTGAGTTTTCAGCTTTAGTGCTGGTAGGTGTATTTCTGAACTTTGAAATTATCCAGACTAGCTGTTTCCCCCTGTTCCCAGTCTTTACGCTAAGCTAAGCTAAGCTAAGCTAATTGCCTGCTGGTTTTAGCTTTACACTTAACAGATATGAGGCTGGCTTCAAACGTCTCATCTGCCTGTGCGACAAGAAAGTCTAAACTAACTTATAAACTGTATAGCAAGATCTATACCGCCCATATCGCCCATATCGCCCACTCCTCTAAGTTTTAGATTAAAAAAAATTTAATTTAGCTAATCTTTCCTCTCTCCTTTTCACAGCTCAGATTTGTAAAATTACCCTCAATATGTTTTGATAAATATTTGTATTGTATCTTCCAGCCATTAACTCAATAAGATGTTTCACTTTTATTAAAACTGCGCTCCGGCCACAGTATGTTCACAAAGGCTCAACTGGACCCTCACACACCAGCGGTTCGATATTACACTCAGAAACACACTTAATAGCATGTGATTGAATCCTGGATCTAGAGAGGCGGATTGAACACCTGTCAGTAAGACGAATGAGCGTTTGACCAGGCTCATTTTAATGAAAGCAGTGAGCGACTAACAGGAATACAGCGTGTCTGGTTATTTCTTTGTCCGTGCGTCTTTATGTTTCTGTTTTGACAATTGGTTAAAATTGTCCGACCAGTTCTGTCACATTAATTTTACACACACATATCTAGTTTTGTGATTAATCTTGTTGACCTTGGAGCTCACAGAAGTAGAATAGTTTCTCCACCAGAGCTTGTGTGTCTGTTTCCTGTGGGGAGCTGTAAACGCCCCACAGACAGAGTTGAGTGTCTGTGTTTTGACTTCAGGTGCACAGCCTTAGGCAACTGAAACATGGTCATCAACAGAAATCCATATCTCCCGGTGTGTGTGTGTGTGTGTGTGTGTGTTTGGTTTGTGATGTTACATGTGTTTATGTGTGCGATGTCTGAGTGTTTACACGCAGCATGCTTCCAAACATAGACACTGCCTGCAGAGAGCTGATGTTTTACCTACAGGGGTGGACACACAAAAGGCAACACATTCGCAATATAATTCAGTCCACTGCTGAAACACTTTGAAAGAACGTGAATAAGCAACATTTTGGGGAATCAATTAATTGTGTAAGCCTGTTTATCAAGTAGAAATTCCAAACATTCACTCTGTTTTACATTGTTGTAAATGGAATTGTGGAGTGTTGGTGAGACAAAATAAAATATTTGTGTTATGTTTAGCTCAGTGCTGACACAGGAAGTAGAGTATTTGGACCCTGGTGCAGACACCACGTAGAGCAGATGCTGTTAATGTAGTTTGAAGTGGAACTTACAGCAGAGGTGAGGTAGGCAGTTTAAAATGAGGCAAAGGAAATCCATAATAACAAAAAGGCAAATAAATCCAAAACGACATAAACGCGTAGAAAATCCAAAAGACACCGGAGACACAAGGTAACAGGGAGCAGGACTGATTGCTAAACTAACACTTAGTGGTTGTAGTAGAAATTTGGCTACATCCACATCTACTACGCTTTCGTTTTAAAACAAAAATGATCTCCGTCCACACCATCGTTTTAGCTGTGTACCAGAACTGATCTCCGTCTAGGCCTATATTAAAATGACTGAAAACACACATCGAGGGGCCGTTCATGTACACTGGGCATGCCGGTAAATACAGGAAGCAGATTGTCTACTCCGCAGTTTCAGATTCAGTTTTTTGCTCCTGTGGGACGGGACGTTGGGAGACAGACTGTGATTCTTACTGCTGAATTATTAATAGCTGCAAGCATGTAGGCCTGGGGCTAACTGTGAAAGTAAGGCATGTTTGTCTTATTATTTTGTCTTATTATAATAATTATTAATATTATTATTATTATTAACATATGTAACCATTTTGCTACAATTACGCTTCACACAACAGCTGCGGCTGTGTTTGCGACCTGACCTTTCTTTTCTCCGTGAGAGGGAAGAATTTAGAAAGTTGCGTGGCGCTGCAGGGAGCCCCCAGCAGCAATAGTGCATGGATCATGCCTAACATTCATCCAGCCAGAGGGAACGATCATGAACCGTTCACAGCACGGAGAGGGAGTGGGGCGGACCAGGGACAGAAGACAGAGGAGCGACCGGCCCGCTGCGTACGGCAGGTGATTGTTCCCTCTGGCTGGATGAAGGCTGATGCTCCACATGATCCATGA